CGTGTGCCCCGCACCCATTGCATGCCCGCCGCCCCCGTTAGAGCCCCGTCCCGCCCTCCGCGAGGACCTTTCATCTGGGCAAGTTTTATGACATTTGGTGAATGTGCAAAGTTTTTAATTAGACTCGCCAGACAGCCCGAGGCAGCGCTAGCGCCACGAAGTCTTCATGCTCTCTGCCTGCCTTTGCAGCACAACAAGCCGCTCTACTCCTTTGAAGACAACGCCGACTATGTCTACGACGTCATGTGGTCGCCCGTGCACCCCGCGCTCTTCGCCTGCGTCGACGGCATGGGGCGCCTGGACCTCTGGAACCTCAACAACGACACCGAGGTGCGGGGAGCGCAGCCGCCCTCCTCGCGGGGCTATTTTGAGGTGCATTTTTAAAAACCGCCCCCGTTTCGTGTTTTGTTTTTTTGGCCCGGTACACCGCGCTTCAGTGGGACACTAGAAATACCACTTTTTTTTTTTTGTTCCCTTTCTTTTTTTTTTTTTTTTGGATGCCTCCTCCTGCTCAGACGGTCACAGCTTGACTTGTCAGCCTGGCAGCACCACTCATCCTGCGGCTACCAGGCCTTGAAGGCAGCTCTTTTCCTTCCTTCCTTCCTTCCCTTTTTATTTTTTTTTCCATCTCTATTAGGGCTGTTTGTTTGTTATTATTGCTTGTTGCAGTGAGAGATTTAATTTTCCTTCGTAATTATCCCCTACTCCAAATGTTTGTGAGATTGTAACAGCTTGCAAGCCCCAGAATGGTGCCTCCATCCTGGTAGCACCTCATGTGCTCATGCACCTTCTTGCAGCCCTCACTTCTCTGAGCAATGAGCTCTTATGCTTTTATTTTTCTTTTTCTTGTTTTCTTCCTCTTTTTTTTAAGGGAAAAAAAAACAAACCCTGCTATGACATTTAAAAGTGCAAACGCAAAAGAAAAAATTAAAACAGATTTTTATCCTGTTGCATGAACTCAATAGAGGGGACCATAGGGGATAAAGCGTCACAGCTTTAAAATTCCTCTGATGCAGAAAGGATTAATCAGAGATTTTTGCAATGATGCAGAATGGAAAATACTGCTTTTTGATTTTGTTTGGTAGTTTTTGTAAGTCAATTTGAAAATAGGACAAGTGCCCCCTTTTTTTGTATCCTGTTATTTCAGGTCAAAAAACCTCTGTAGATTTGTATTGACACAATTTTTGCTGGATTTGAAGACAATTTTGAGGAAAATTGTCACGTTACCTAAGACCGTATTTGACCCACAATCAAAATTCAGAATAGGAATTGAAATATTTTTCCACAACCGAAATCTTGTGTATTTTTACTCAGTTCCATGTAAAATTAAAAACAAAACAAAAGTACATCAAAACATGACCATGTATTAAGTGGCAGGTTCTTTTTATTTTCAAGAAAGAAAAGATGCAGAGTACAAACAGCAGAATTTCCCCCCCACACACCCTATTTCTTACAGTGTTTTCCTTTGAGATTAGTTTGTTCATTAATATGCCTTTCATGTAAACATGATATACATTTCAGCCAGAGTAAAATACAGGCGCAGTTTGTGGTTTCCAGTGAATGGTGCTTGCCATAAATAAGCATGGACAGGTAAGAGGAACCAGCGCGGTGCACGGTGTTGTCAAGTGGAGCCTTTTGAAGTCCTCTGAGCAGGAAGCAGCGCAGCCTTTTTAATTAGAGCGCATACAGCTGGAGGATATACAGGAGGAGTCTCTGCGGAATTTATTTTGGGAAGGGAGGGACATATCCTTCAGGTGTTCTCATTAATGCAGGCTTAAACACAGAGCATAAAACCCAGCATTTTAAGAAGGGGAAAAAAAAATACAACCCTTTTCCCTCAAATACCAGGGCTGAAATCCTGCTCTGCCTGAAATCAACTGATGTTTTGCCATTTAATTCAATGAGACCATAATTTCTTTCCAGAAAATCAGTATGGACCGCTTGATCCCTTTCCCATCAATAATAAGGCTGTATGTAGAAAGCTGCTGATGTATTTTCAGTGTGTTTACATATAAATACATAGGAACATCAACCAAAAAATAATTTCAAGCTCAGTCCTGCATTTCTTTTGCATGTAAGGCCACCCTGGGTTGCACACATGATTTCCATTCTCAGAGGTCAAAATGAGCTCTCATGTAAGGATCAAACTGGAATTATCTCTGTGGTATTATTACAGCTTTGCATTTTTTAATAAGAATTGAATTTGGATCGCTGAAGGAAAAAGTACCATTTGGTTTCCTTAATGAGTGCTGATGAAATTAGTTAAAGTCTCTAGAAATGGTAAACTGGCAGAATCTGAATATATGAGCGGTTTTGCTGTGCGAGAGAAGCAGTGTCAGACGTAGAAGTGCCGCAGAAAAGAAGAACTTAAAGCAGTTCTTCTAGACATCGTAACTGAAAGTGATCATTGTTTGCTTTGACCCTCCGTCTGGTAGGTCATAATTAGTTTATAATTTTCAAGATTTCCATACTTGATTATACAACCAAAAATATGCTCGACTGTTTAGTAAGAAAAAGTCTTTGTCAGCACTTAATCTTTGCGATAAAAAATCTTGAAACGGCTGTGCACACTGCTAGTTTTAGATGTCAGGCATATGATGTCGAAGTATTTATGGAGAGAGCATAAAATGACAAGTATATTAATGCTTCAACTGCTAGCTATTCATAAAAGATATTTGTATAAGAAGTAGATATGATTGTTCTTAATGAGACCTGGCTTTGTTTAATTTGGGAAATTAATACCTAAATAATAATGTGGCTTGTTCTGTAAACCAATAATACCTGGGTTTAGTTATAATAAGTTACCTTCAAATTTTTGAACTGTAACACAGTTGCCACTAGTGATATTCCACAGATTTATTAAAAACATTTTGCCCGAGTTCTAGATGCTTTCTGATCAAAATAAGAAAAATTGTTTGACTACCACCACAGATTTAATCGCTCTAATTATTCACTTCTAAGCGACAAGAGTATTTGTGTACTGCATTTTGATCTGGATATAAAAAAAAAATTTATAATAGCCATCAAGGATATCATATTTAGTTTATATTTCTAAAATGAATTAAAAAAATAAAAAGCAAAAACTTGCTCCAATTCTTCAGTCTTTTGCAAACGGAATTAATGTTTCTATGGATGAGTATGGGAGATTTGCATGTAATTTCAGGATAGCAGTCAGTGATCTCTTATGTATATATCTGTTAAAATTTCTTTTTGGATCAATGTTAGAGAAGGTCCCTGGGTTATTGATGAGTCTCATTTATCTATAAACTGGTATTACATTGATTTTTAAATCTGCATATTTCTGCTCTATTCTGCTTCTTTCAAGTGTACTTTCCTTTGCACGTCACGCCTTTGCTTTGAAAGTGAGAAGATCGTGTTTATTCCTACAAATGGATAAAAGATATATTTACAAGTAGGTTTTGACACTAGCTAAGCAAAAAAACTAAAAGAAGTATATCTTTATTGTTCAGGTTTTTCATGAGTACATCCTTCTCAATCTGTTACTCCTTAAAAATCTAATTTCAAAATGGTTAAAAATCTGACAAGCACCAAATTTAGAGATTTATGAAGTATTTTAAATATAATTTTTAAAACATAATGCTACCACATCGCCATTATAAAATGAGCTCAAATCTTTGAAATCTAAAATAAGTGTGTGTAATTTAACCTATCACTATTCGAAGCAGGGAAATCTATTTTAAGATAATAGGATTTGACTGTATTTCTCTCTGTGCCGCTGGAGGAAAGGCTTTTTATGTAGATTTTAAACAGCTCTTCCATGATTACTTTTTGTTTTGTTAGCTTTGTGGAGTAGAAATAGGACTTTACAAAACCATTGGATTTTTAAAAATAGCTCATGTTTTTTGTATGTGCAGCAGGCATGCTGTCTGGTTTTGTGTGGAGCCCTGCAAGTGCTGAATTCTCAGCAACAGAACCAGTTCCACTGTGATAGATTTCAGCCTTCTGTAAGATCTTCTAAAATTCAGTGTCTTAAATATGCACTGGGCCATTCATTTGAAACAAATATCTTTGATCTGCATTCTTCTGAGAAATGTAGCTGGTTAGTGGATTAGTGCTCTCAAAATGTAGCATTGTAGCATTTAGTTGCTGTTTACATAACATTTCCAAATGTGATTATGCAATTAATTTGGGTGGATTTTTTTTTTCTCATTTTTATTTATTTATTTACAAATCAATCGTCACAGGAGTAAAACTTGCCTGTTTTTTAATGTGATTTTTTTGTCATGGACCCGATGTCACATTGAAACCATTGACTGGAAGGCACCAAGCACCAGCGTGGCTGGGATAAGGAGTCCGGGCGGGCACCGACTTTTATCAGTGACGGTGCGGTGACCCGGACCTAGGCCTGAAGCAGCGGCTAATGTGCCTCTGATGAGCTTGTGACAAGCAGGAGGACAGTCTCAGCTTCACTCTCCAGCTTTGTTTCTAAAGCATTTTGCCAACAAAATGTTTTGTGGGCTTGGGGACAGCATTGTGCAGCCATCTACAGAGATGCGGAGTTGGCTTGGCTGGCCGGTTGTGCCGGGAGGTGCCTGCTTGGCTCTGCAGCTGTAAGTCAGAGCCTGTGGGAAGGAGACGGGAGTTTCCAGAGGGAGAGGGGCCGGGCAGCAGCCCTGCTTTCTAAGCACTGCTCCGCAAAGGTTTTGCTGGCTGCTATCTCTGGCCTCGTGGGGTGCACTGAAGGCATTAGAGCTTAGGAGAAGAGGGAGATTGGTGTGGAATATAAAAATGTTGTCTTAAAATCATTTTTTCCTGTGCATCTTTGCACTTACAATATAAAACTACAGCTGAAAAGCTGAGATGAAGCTAGTCAGACACTGGTTTTGTTAACAGTAGTGCGCTGGTTTTGTTTTGCAGTAGTTTCTCAACCCCCAAAGTTAATATCACCTTTAAGCTTCTGTCTCCTGCTTCTGGGCATTGTGCCCCCAGCAAGGGCAGGAGTGGCTGTCACTCACCCCTGCAGATCTAGCCCAGGCTCTAGTTCCTATCCAGGTGCCTCTTCCTGCCCAGACTGTTCCCCAGGTCCATGTCCAGTCACATATCCTGGGATGCTCCCTGTGCCTTAGTTGACTAAGACCTGTTGTGGAGGAGCTGCTTGTGCAACTCCCTTCCTGTTCCATTTGCCCTGACCGAGACACAGAAACCTTTGGGCAGAGCCTGTCACGCCAAACTGCAGACTCCTTCCCTAGGCCGGTTCTCTTATTAAAGGTGCCTCGGTGGAGCATTAGTAGGAGCAGGTTACGAAGTGACCTAAATCAATGGGATGATACACCGATCTGGGACAACACCCACACAAATGCTTCCTCCTCCAGCACCTCTGTGATGGCTACATTCCCGTAAACTGGAAATACTTCTGCGACAATAATGTTTGTTGCTCTAGTCATCCCCACCGGGAACTTCGTTCTTGTGGATCATCTGTTGATTTGTCAGTTGGGTTGGGGTGTGGTAGTGGGGAATTAAACAGCATCTAGGTATATTTAAACCAGAAAGTGGTTCCTAGGAATATGGGACAAGTATAGAAGAGAACTGTGGGAATACAGGAGTTTCTAAAAGTGAGATCAGCTTCTCAGGGCTCTTGTCAGATTGTACCTGAGCTTTGACCTCTGTATCTAGCCGCAGGTCTGAGTATGAATTCCAAAGATAGGTCAGCATGGATATTAGCATTTTTCTATGATCAGTCAGGTTATTTCGGTCCAAGTGGTGGGTAAGAACCGAGGATAAGACTGAAATGATTCTCGGTCAGTCAATTCTGGTTGTAAAACAGTGTCTTTCAAGAAAGCTGATGTGGTTTCACGTGTCTCCAAAGTTAAAAAAAAATGGTTTGTTAGCTGCCCATAACTGTGGAAAAGTCTGCCCAAGTCTGCCCTACCCATTCCAAGCAATCCCTTAGTCTTCCTCTTTTTAGCACATGTGACTGCAGAAACAATGAACCTTTTCTTTATTTTTTTTCTCTTCCCTCCCCTCTGGGGTTGTAGGTTACTTTCAGCAATGTCAAAGGACTTGTGACTTAGCCAGCTAAACAGAACGTTCTAAACTGACCTGTAGAGTCACAGGGAGCAGGATTTTATTGTCATTTCTATTGCTATTGTTTCAACAGGTTCCCACAGCCAGCGTGACAATCGAAGGAGCTTCTGCCCTCAACCGTGTCCGCTGGGCACAGGCTGGGAAGGAGGTGGCGGTTGGTGATTCGGAAGGCCGCATATGGATCTATGATGTTGGAGAGGTACCTGTTTGTTTATTTTGAACCTCAACTCTTGGAGGGGATCACCTCCAAGTTTGAAAAAATGCCATAGACATCATGACGTATGAATAGGATAAATGCAGGGAAGGTGCCAGATGACTTTCAGTGGAAACCCAATTGATTTCTGGGTTGCCAGCATTATGGTAGTTGTAAAGGTACTTTGCAAAATAGGTACCCAGTGAAAGTCACATGAGGGAAGTCTGCTTTGAGGGTATTCAATACTTCTTAGCCATTTTTAATCCCTTTAAAAAGTGGTTCCTTGAGTACAGTTAGAAAAAAGTTAGGAACCTAAAGAAGACAACACAGTTGCAAAAAGATGTGTTGCTCTGAAGTCGGTTTTGTAGGATTCATTTTTATATTGTAGTGTCTCTGACTTTATGACTAGCTTAATGTTGCATTGTGTCTCAGCATGGCATGGAAAGAACAGACCTGCTCTTTTAATACCACTGAGCACGTGCAACCGTGCTCGTGGGAGGAAATGAGAGGTGCCGTTCTGCAGGACTGTAGATACGTGAGTGATAAAGAGAACATGCAGGCACGGAGAAATAGGAGGATGTATGTTCTGTGTCTACGGCTGCTCCCAGTTCACTACATACTATAAAAACCGTCTGAACTGCAGTGTGTTTGGCACTGACAGAACCTGCCTCTTTGTGGTGAAGACAGAGAGAAGTGTTTGTTCTGTCGGCTTTGCAGTTCCTTGGAACAGTCAAGGACGAATCTCTGAGCAATCAGCTTTTATGTAGAGAATTTGTTTTCCATCATTATCTGTGATAGGATACAGAGATATCCATCTCTACACAGTAGGGAAACATTATAGAATACATACAGAATTATCTGTAACTCATATAAAGTGATTTTATGGCCCATAGCAAAATTACTTGTGCATGACTCACATTTTTGGATTGCATTCACTTGTGCAGGAGTTGCCTTTCTTCACAAATGTTTGCTGAAGCTTCTTGCTGTATTGTTAACATAATTTCTAAATTGTGTAAGGTTATTATATTCAAATTTCCACTACAGCATTGGCAGGTCAGTCTGTTTTTATTTATTTTTCTTTATTTTTGCCTGATTGTTCTAAAATGGTGGGTTTTCTGTTTTCCAAGTAATGTGACAGGCTATGGAAATGTCTCTAATGACAACACAGTCTGAGCTTGTCTGGGAGTCTAGACAGGCTGTAGAAGAGTCTCTTTTTGCCTATCATACACCAAACCATTCACGGGATTGTTTATCACTGCAAGCTAATCCAGAAGAAAATAGATTTAGTGTTCTCTGCAGAAGAAGTAATATTTAAGTTCTGGCCTTTTCACTGTATAATCAGAATTCAACTTGCAAAATGAGTCACAGTGATACGCTCAGATCAAAAGGAAAGTCAGGCTTCTGTGACTTGGAAAAGAGAAGAGAGCCATTCAAAAGCAGCTGCTTGGGTGCATCCTGATCAGTGCTACATAACGTGTTCTGCTGCACAGGCTTCACAGGCCCAGTCTGCTCCAAGCCCCACGCTCTCCAGCTCAATTCCATCCGTACTGCTGCAGATAGATAAATGCCCACCCATATAGCAGCTAAAGTGGCATGGACCATGTATACACACACACACGCTTCAGAATAAGTGAGGGACCCATGCGGTGGTGGAAGGAGCTAAAGCAGTGGAGCAGTATTGACTGCCCCCACTTTTAACTTTTCTCATGACTGCTCCAAACACTTTTTAGATTAGCCATAGAGTCCCAACAAGTTGGTTCCATCATGAAAAGAGTGGGATAGACGTGTCGTTGCGCTATAGTAAAGCAGTGTCTTTAACCTCACGTTGGTGTATAAACAAATTTTCCTACCTGTTTGAACAAGCAGAATAGATTAAATGAATTTTGGACAGGGTAGAAAACACATTACGATATCAAATCATTAAGGAAGATAACAAATCGTGTAAGTGATAGGATTTTTTACCTTGTTATAGTCATCACTCCTTTAAAGAGCTCTTCTAGACAGTAGGAAAGTGCCCATAATTTTGGGGTAAAGAGAAAATACTATATGGCCTAAGTGAAAACCAAGACGTAGGGTCTATCCTTGCATCCTTGGTGAAGGCAAGGAGTTTCAGATCAGGACTGTTTCTCTTCTGCAAGATTTTAGGATTCGGCCCTTTTCATTCTGACATATCACCTAGCCATGGTATCTATGACGGATAGCAGAAACATGAAGAATATGACAAGAGTCCCTGACCAGGGAGTTAAAAATAATGGTGACATTTTCAGTTAGGCTGTATAGCGTTATCTCCTTTGACTATGTACTTTTAGTTGTTTGATTTCAGCATCGTGTCTGAAAATAACTGAACACATTTATTTTCACAGCGAGGGGTCTATTTTCCCCTCAATGCTTGTGCTTTATGGCCATTAGCATTAATGGGAGTTATACACACACTTCCAGGGGCGAAGAGGCTTAGATAGTCCATATAGATGTGCTCTTGGAGATCAGTAACCATGGGTTTAAAGAATGTGAATTTAGGAAGAAAACAAATCTGTTTGTTTCAGTGTGATGTCATCTGAAGCCTAGATCACTTATTCACAGAATTTTACCAGTCACCTCTCTGCGCAACGTAACTTTCCAAACCTTCTCTATTCTCATAGTTGAGATGGATTTTATCATTGTGGTGGTGTGCAGCATAGATCTTCTTACCTTCTGTGGTCTTAGGACTTATTCACTGGGCAGCAAGTTTTCAACGTGGTAAAAGTTGTTTTTAGCAGAGCATGGACCACTGGCTATAGATTTATTCACATGTCCAGGTGATTGATAGCTAGACCTAACTACATGTCCCTCTTGCAGATATATTTTATAAAAAGCGGCTCCCATTGTGCTTGCTTCAGTGATGTTATGCGCCTGCCGCGCTCATAAATATTCTGTAACAACCACATTTGTTGCCTGCCTGGCTCATTTAGATTGCTCTTTGTGCCTTCACTTGTGAAAGAAGCAGCTTCTCTTCCCCCTTCCATTATTTCTTTTTTTCCATTAATTTCTTCTAAGGCATAATTTGTTTGCAGATTGGATAAATAGATAGAAACTGTAAATCAGTGATTTATTATTTGATTGTGGTAAAAATATAAAGTTAAAATAAGTTTTCAGTGCTGGGTTGCAGCAGAGAGTTTGTAATCACAAGGAGCTTGTTACTATATATTGTTTGTTTTGTTAAACTAGTAACAGGACAGACTGTTGCATTTGTTTGGCAGTGTTCCAGACAGTTGATTCTGGTCGTGCTTTTAAAGGATGACCTGCATGCCAGGTGAAACTGGAGAAAAGTAAGGAGAGGTTTTTCCCTAGAGCATCCAGGAAGGATGGCTCTGCCCCTAGGCTTTGCCCACAAAAGCAATTCCATGGGAAAGCTTTGCACAGCTCTCATCCCTGTCCTCTCCTCCTTGCAGTGAAATCAGCATCATATTTACATTTATATGACTTGTTAGGTTTAAAAGTTAATGTCTGTTTAAGCCCCTGTACAGCTGCTGTGCAGGGCTGTCTGCAATGTACATGGAAAGTGCATTCAGACTGGCTTGCATTTGCAATGTATCTGCTGCATCAAAATGGCAAAAGTCTTAATGGCAACACTTCCAATGAAGTGAAGAGCATCGATTCTGGTGGGGAAAGTGACCACTTTGAGGGTAGTAATCAATTTACTCGTTAATTGGTATTGTAAGACAACTTCAACTCTTGGGGTAGAGAGAGAAGTTACTAGTCTTGTCCGAGGGCTGTGCTCCCTGAGGGGGAGCAGCCCATGAGAGCCTTGCTGGCACATGGGCTCCGTGATGGCTGTTAAGCCCGTGTCACGGTTTGAAGTGCTTGGCCTGTGAGGGAGGAGCTGGCAACTGCCACGAGTATGTGGACAAAGTGATGCAATAGGGAGTGGCTATAAAATAATTCCCTTTGATTTTGGCAGCATTTTAACTGCTGCTCTGAGATTCTGAAGTTTTGAGGCAAAGAAAAATGCATATTCATGACCAACTCTCATATTTCAGCATGACTATAAGTCACTTATTTTTCTGGGTACAGCGGGGAAGGGTTGATGTTTTGTACACCTACCCTGAGATCCCTGTATTTCACTGTAGATTTTCTATGCAAAACGTATCCAGTGTCTCTTTTATGCAGTTAAAAACTGCTGTAGTCAGGAGGAGAGAAATACAAAGATAGGTTTTGTACTGCGTAGTTATCTGAGTAGACTTTCTTGCAGATTTTGTTCTACCATCATAAAGCACTGGTTTAGTATGTACTGGGTTAGGAAAGGGATGTTTTTTCCACAAAAGTGAAAATGAGATTTGTCATAAAGCGTTTTATTTTAAAATCCGAGGTGAGTTGGAGAACTCTTGGAACAGAGGTGAATTGCTCACACACACATACTATGAAAATAAATTTGAGCAATAATATGATTTGATCAAGTTTTATTCAAAAGTCAAAGATCAAGTAAGATACAGTATTAAAACAACGCAGGCATGAAGTGTAATCAAATGGATGGTGAGGCAGAGCCTGAATTTCATCATTGATGCTTTGGCTATGAAGATTTGTGAGAATTTTAAAAGCTTGTTTTAGCAAAGCAGAATCTCTTACTGGCTGCTGAAAAATGTAAAGAACTAGGAAATTTGGGGCTCAATTTTTTTTCCTTCTGCCCCTTGTTTTATAATGTTTGGTCTTGAGAGACCTTTGAAAAAAAGAAGCTCTTGGATGACGAAAGGGGAGAAAGAAAAAAAGGGGAAAAAAGGCATGACAGCACAGTAGGAACTCTGACTTTTTACTTTAATAACTGAAATCCTGAGCAGAACAAACTCTTCATCCCTCATCATTTGAATTTTGACTGATACAGTGACTATTCACAAAGGGATTTTTGAAGTAGGCTACATAAGAACTCTCTAATGAAAAAAATGCACTAGTTTGAAATCAGTCAATTTAATTACTGTGTTTTATGAAGGCCATTACCCATTGCTGATTACTAGGGTGATAAAATCTTTAAGCTT